GTACACTACATGTGCAATGTAAATACACATCAGTAATACTCATTAATAATACCCATTACTAACCAATATATATAACAATAACCTTAAAGTACACTACATGTGCAATGTAAATACACATCAGTAATACCCATAACTAACCTATATATATAACAGCGGCCTTAAAGTAGACTACATGTGTCCTAAAAAGTACCAACCAACAAATGATAAAACACACTACATGTGCCCTCATATGTACGTACCAACAACATGCACGGGAGCTCGGTACGGGACAATGCCGTATCTGTACTGGAACACGCCTCTGCCGAATAGCAATGGGGTGGAGAAGCCCAGCCTTTTCATGATACCATTCTGGCGCTCCCGGAGATCACTTCCACGAGGGTTTGGCACCTGGTTAGGAAAAAGGTGCGGGCGATTAGACGGCCGCGATATATAATAAGGTGGTTATGCATACAGGTGTGGAACAAGTGATCACAATACAAAAACACATGTGTACATACAGACACACATATATATATCGTTTGTGTCTTTGTGCGTCTCGTGCACAAACAGACTAGATATCTTTCATTGTATGAAGCATAATAACAGTACCATTGTAATCACTAAACACGTTGCATACCTGGTCCCACAGATTGTTTTCGCCGAATCCGATTACGGGAACGAGAGGCGCTCCGTTGCGAATAGCCATTTTGACGAAACCCTGCGAGTCATTAAGATAGGAAATGCCGGTCAAAATATGTGTTGAAATGTTTAAAATATGTCAGAGTGAGAATGAGCGTGGGGGGGATTGTACGTCCGTATATGTGTGTATACGTGTGTTGATGTAGAGAGAATGGAGACTATATATATATATATTTATATGTATGCATAAGTATGAATAAATGCAAATAAAATATAAAATCATATCATTTTTTTTTAAAATTATATCAAATCAAATCTTCGATCATCTCATCCCATAGCATATCATATGGGTGTGCGTGGGTCTCTATGTATATATATATCAATCTACAGCTTTAATAATTATATATTCAGTCACTCAATGTCTCCACATAGTTCTATGTATACGTAAAATACGTTCACGTCAATCGATACGTGATTGGCATACCTTTCGTTTCAACACAGTGAGATCCATGGTTTCGGGGATGGCATCCAGTGCTTCGGCGGCCCCTCCGACAACGATAAGACACGAGCTTCCCGGTTTAGCAGTAGGACCTAAATCGGGATGAGACCCAAGGTAGGGAAGTATGAATTTAGGATGCGTCTACACGTGCCCGTACGTGTGTGAAAAGTGACAACTTGTGTCTAAGGAGATATCCGGTCCAATATAAATTGAGCTATATAGAAAATACTTTTTTTTCGATCACATAAATACACCTATTTAAATAGCTATATTGCTCTATGAGTGTTTGTATGTAAATAAACACATCGCTATGTGGGCATATACACCATAACATCAAACAGCTGTACCATGAAATCAATTCTGAGACGGAACTAGGAGGATGTGTGCGTTCGATCTACAATATATAGATATGTAGGTATAAATGTAGAAATATATGTCTATATATATAGTATAAATACCAGGTGCAACTGACATTATTGTGCATATTGAAACGTGAAAAAAAGACATGGGACGACACAAACTCAGGGAAATGTAATATGTGACATTATTTTATCACGTACATTACCAATTCACCAAATTATTAAAACTAAAACTGCTGAACTAATTCAGCTACACGACTGCAGACATAAACGAACCCAAATGGTTGCTGATGGACAGCACCGAATGATCACCTATAACAGCTGGACTAATCTATTTAAACTGCTGCAAGTATATATATATACACCCAAATGATTTGCTATGGAATGCACCGAATTAATACACTACAAGTACTGAACTAGTTCAATTGCATTACTGTATAAACGTACCCAAATGGTTGTTGATGGAGGTGCGGCCCACATCCGCAAATCCGAGCGCCATGAGGTAGTCGCGATAGAATGGAAAGCGGAAGTTCGTAGACAGCGTCATGGGACCTATACAAAGCGGGATATACCGATATACATATTAGTCTACCGGTACCGATACACAAGCATCACAGGACCTATACATGGTGGTATAGTGTCAGCATACGTGCTTCTTACAATATATTCGCATACGTATGGGCTGGGTCGATTAAGCTGTGTGCGCCTAGTAGTTAAAAAACAGCATTCTATTCGTATCCATAGATGTGAGCAGTCGGTATGTGTAGCTGTACATTGGTGTGAATTTCCATGCCATATGTATCGGTGCGAGTATGTGTTTTGGAGATTTAGGGTTTAATGAAGTCCGCGGGCACCAATGACAAATTTGGAGTTTTGCAAAGGGCAATGATACCGATATGAAAACTAACTATCCGCTTGTTGCATTACAGGCTGATACGTATATGTATATATATATACATATCCATATGTACATACACCCCTTCCAATAACTTACTAATCTGAATCCCGGGAAACATCTCATCGACACCACGGGAATTGGTTCCGAATGATGTCACAACGCCAATGCCAATGATGCCGTGCGGGTGATATGCGAACAAGTAGTTGCGCTTTGGGTCCAGGTCAACGGTCTTGTGCAGAGAAATGGGAAAGTAATCTGCAAACCTGGTGGTAGCATTGGACAAGATACTGAAATTTAGATTTGGGTTCTGGATTTTTCATGTCTGAATGGGTTTTCGATATGACGGAGTGTGACTACACATGTAAGCACCGATTCCAATCAACGAATGATGGCGAAGTGGTCTACAAACCTGAATTTGGAAAACAAATTCCAAAAATAGATTTTTTTGACTATGGATGTAATTTTGTATATATTTTTGAAAAGTACTTGTCACATCCCCGATACAAAGGTATGTCAATACATGTGACATTCATGTTCGATTTGTTGTGGTCTTGTATTGAGCGATAGGAAACTTCAAATGCGCGTATTCAACTGCGAACATGGGGTTCAAATTGAATATAGTAAGCAGATAAGGATGTATCTACGATTGTACGATATATAGCGATCAAATTGAATATAGTATGCAGATAAGGATGTGTCTACGATTGTACGATATATAGCGATCCCTGGCATAGTGATGTGACTATAAATGTAGATTCTACGCTGAAAGAAAATGAGGCGCACATGACGTTCGAAATAACCCGCCACATACTCGTAAACCGAATTGGATGCAGTCGAAAACAAACCTAAAGCAAAATATTAATCGCTAAATCAAATCTAACCCTAAACTCGCCGACACACCATTTCATCAGGGGAAGATCTCTGAACCATTTCTGACGTCTTCCGGGTCTCTTGGGACCCTCGGCGTCAAAGACGTAAACCCAAGTGAGGTAAGGAATCATGAACCACTGCAAAGGAAACAATTGGCCGACATGTCAGTCTACACTGTAGATGTGCATGGGACGCCAGCAAGCGTTTATGTACTTCAACAGACGTCTCAGACATGATACTGGAATGTATCTAAAGTAGCACAACAAAGTCAAGCAGGTATAAATGCATAGATATAAAAAGATATGAATATAAATATATATTATATATACACATAGATATATATAAATACATACACACGTATATAGGCAAATAGGCAGATACATACACACACACACACACATATATATATGTGTGTATAAATAAATATATATATCGAGTATGAAGACGTACATACCCAAGTGTACATAATGTTGTAGAGCATTGTTACGGTCAGTACGACGCTCAGAGACTGCATGGATAGGAACAGCAAGACAACCAAAGTCTGCCGCCTGCGACTTATGGGAGTACTCAGAGGAGCCACCCACTCAGGCCAATAAAATTCCTGAATTTGCGACGAGATACGAATCAGTATTTGCGACATACTGCATATTGATAACCATAGCGTACAAGCAGGTCAAACGGTCGATGGTTTGTAGGTGTATTTGCGACAAGTTCAGTGTGTGTGATACGTTGTGTATCCGTATGTACAACAGGCTGAAACTATCCGTTCACCGCACGCTGTGACATGAAATATTCGACCTATTGAATGACTGCCCACGCATGTCATTGTGCACGAGATACCCTGATAAACAACCCCTAAATATGAACACACACACCTATGAGAGGCACCTCGCTACACATACTATAGCCACAATACTTACTAGTATTATACAACTATAAAAATAATTGTAACTACAACTACAACTATATGCTTTACAACTACATTCATACTTCATGTACAATACATAGAGTACATATGCAAATAGACACATAGTATATACGACTGTATTCATACTCTGTGTATAATACATTGTACACGTATGCATAACTACTATTTAGGGAAGCTGGAAATACGACATGGAACTATACAGCCTCATCTGTTATAGTTTACATCCAGGGGCATAGAATTTTGTGAACAGATTATCTGTTATATGTATATAACAAATATATATACATACACACAACCACATATATATATACATACACACACATACATATGTATATATATATATACATACGATATTTATATAGATAGATGGATACACTTATACATATACATCAATACATCTTATATATATATGATTATATTTATATAGACTTCTATATATATATATATTAATACATCTATATTTATACATATATGAATATATGTATATTTATATTAATAAATCTATACATATGTATGTTGATATAAATAATATATATATACATACATATATATATATATACATACGTATATATATATATACATACGAATATATATATATATACATACGTATATATATATATACATACGTATATATATATATACATCCGTATATATATATATACTTTATATATATTATACATGTATATATCAATCTATATCAAAACGGGTATATAGAACTTGCACCCATCCATTCCCTTCCCGACATACCGTTTGTGGCACAAGCTTTTTCACTCCGTTCTGTACCTGATTTGCGACAGACCCGGCTGTGGACTTAATTTTACGACTGGCCTGCGCCATGGGTGACGAGGCTCCCTTGTTGTGTTTGGATATGAAAGAGTTTGAGTGCTGATGCGTGAGCATATATAAGATTGTTGCATATTTTGTGTGAATATACAGGGGTTTGAGTGCGCAATTTGAGTGATTGTGCATACGTGTGAAAGTACGTGAATCAGGACTACGACACAAATATAGGTATGTACGTATGTTAGTGTGCGCGTGCGTATTTTTATACAAAAATGAATATATATAAATACATGCGTACATTAATATAATATATTTATATATATATACGCGTGTGTGTGTGCGTGTGTATGCACATATACTGATAAATATATAAAAACAACTTTAGACGCATAGGTTATATATCTACATATCTGATAATATATAAATATATTTTTGATCAAAAATAAATATATATACATACAGATACAAAGATACAAATATGAAAAGATATATATATATACGATTATGTATATATATATATATATATATATGGATATGGATATTGATATTTATAATATATATATATATATATATATATGCGTGTCTATATACATACATATACAGATAAATAAATATTTAAATATATACATTGATGTATATATATATATATATAGTATTCGTATAGATATTTATATTTATATTCATATATATATATATATATTGTATCGGTAGATCTAATAACTAAGTCAGCAACTGTCAAATGTCATCCAATATCACGACCTATGAGCATTCGGCTCATAATTGAAAGGTACACTCGGAACCAGAAAAAGAAATGGTCCGGAGTACTAAACGATATTAGAACATGATCAAAGTGAGAAGAATACTTTTACATGACAATAAGTTTGCGTGCCAACGATACTATTTTAACAACACAGATAATGCGTGTTTGCAGTCCAATTTCAGGTCACATGGTGCATCGTCGAGTACCGACTGTACCGTATACCGGCAGCTGCCCTTAATCATCATCAATCCATCCCTATGACAACACACTGGTCAACAACTAGGACTGATGATACTATCTATGCTAGTATATACTTATATAAATATATTATGCGTGATAACTCGGTCTGTACAATACATACACATTTAACGTTTACACAACAAAGATATTACCTCAGAACTCTTTGAGGTTTGCGGCTTTGCCGTGCCATCATTATCGGAAGGCATCTTGGAACGATAGTGGATTCAACCAGTAGATGCTGTACAGTGGTTAGTTGCTACTCATTTATTTATCTACCTATGGGGGACTTACAGCTATTTGTACTGCGTTTAGGTGCACAAAATACGCATGAATAGCCTTCCGCACATACAAAACAATGGTATCTCTTTAGATACGTTGTATGTATTTATTTACTCTCCTCAAAGTTCAGGCTTTCGTGTGGATCTGCGGATCTGCCCTGTACAATCATGAGTTAACAGTGTACACGAGCCCCGCGACCGTCGTGTTCGTGGGTGTTGTTGTCACTGGTAAATAATAATATCTCTGGACAATGGAAAGTGCAGTACAATCATTGTCCAAACCTTACCATTGGGTGGTCACAATTGCGTGATCGTCATATAGAGTTTGATAAACCAATGACAACGCAACAAGCTATAAATATCACAATTTTATCATGACTCACAGTAGAGTCACGTCACCAACATTTTGACGAATTCGGAAAACGTAAAATATAAATACGCGTACGTCAGAGGTATATTTCGTGATGTCCCTATCTTGAAATGGGTTCTATCGATTAACAGAGTGTCTGACTACATATATAAAACATAAAAATAAGCGTTTGCGTTCAGATAACCCTTTCTAAAAAAACCATTACCAGAAAAATCAACCAAAAAAAAACAAAACCAAAAGCAAAACAAAGAAAATAAATACGCAAAAACATATGAATACAGCATTTCGCGATATCAGCCCACCTCCCTTCAACCCCCTAAAAAAAAAGGTTCAAAAATAGACTGCTTTTCATTAGGCTTGTGTGGCAGCTTTTTTTTCTTACTCATGGACGTTTTCACAAATACAATTTTCGGTATGTGTATAATATTTTAAAAAAGAAAATTTCTTTACGTTTTGTGAAAATTTGGTTCATTGAAAAAAAAAAAGGGTCGAAAATAGAGTAATTTTCATTAGGTTACATTCGAAATACTCAAAACGTGTGTGGCAATATATTTTTTCTTACTCATGGACGTTTCAGAAATTCATTTTTCGGTTTGATTCAAGACTTGACTGTAATTTTTTGAAATGACGGCGTCCGTCCTATTTTTTGGACATACTTTGTCAGGGTTATGACCGACCCTGAAAGTTTGTTGACGATGCCAATTTCAGAACCATATTTTCGGAGCAGGAATTTTCCGTTGTTTACGAAAATTGCATAGCCTCCTAAATTATACAAATTGACCGATATCCAAATATTTCTGAAACCAGTACCACTTGTGAAACATGCCCCCGAAAGGGGTGAGCTGAGCTCTATTTTTTTTCTGTAGTCAATTTTATTTATTTGTCGTATAAATAAGAATTTTAAATATAGCGGTGTGGGTTCCATCTGACTTTTTATATATATGAAAAAAGCCATTACGTATTTTTTTAATGACGTGTGGCAATATAATTTTAATGACCATGACCCTCTATGTAATAAAATAATTACACATAAATATTTAGCATCATAAGCTAAGATGAGCCTAATAGAGAGAGGCTGAAGGCTGGAGGTGAGTGTGCGAGTGTATGAGTGTTTGAGTGTGCGAGTGTGTACTCGTGTGAGTGTGTAAATGTGTGTTACCGTGCGTATATGTATTTGTATGAGTGTATGCAACAGCGTTATATTTAATGTATTTGTGTATGGGAGTCTTACTGTCACGCGTGCATGTTTACTGGTATGCATTTATCTTATTATATATGTATCTAAATATATTTTCCATCTATTGTCTACTATTGTATACATTTATGTGTATTTTTGTTTACATATTTATCTATTAATTCACATAAGAATGTGTATACACATATATAAATGAATTTTTACCAATGTTTCATGCATGCATTGCCTATTAATGTATGCTTCATTCATTTTATTTGTATCTATAGTATGTATTTATCTATCTTTGTGTAAACGTGTGTGATACGTGCGTGCGTGTGTGTCACATAAATCTATGCGTGTATGTGTTTATAGTTATATGTATGTATTCTGTATGTGTTTTGTGAGTGTGAGTGTGTATTTGCGCGTGTGCGCTTGTGGAGTATATATTTGTATTTCTAAATGGTACGATTTGCGTTTCGGTAGGTAGTGTAAATATTTGTGTGTAGGGTGGGGTATTTTGTGTGAAAACCGATATCTTTGTACATGTGTATTGTGCTCTGGTTCTATGTGTCAGTGCGTGTGTACACGTAAGTTGGACATGGGCTGTGGGCGCGTTTTCTTGTGTAAGTGGGGCATGGGCTGTGTGTGCATTTTCTTGTGTACGTGGGGCATGGTGTCTATGTGTGCGTGTGTGCGTATGTGTCTGTGCGTTTTTTTTTGAGTAAGTGGGGCATGGTGTGTCTGTGTGTGTTTGTTTTTTTTGTGCAAGTGGGGCATGGCCTCTCTATCTGTGTGTGTGTATGTGAGTGTCTGTGTCTGTGTCTTTTTTTTGTGCAAGTGGGGCATGGTCTCTCTCTCTGTACGTAA